CCCCCCCAGTATATTTGATAAAAGTGCCACTAAATCTTATGCAAACAAGTTAAACTAGCATCTTTTCAGAATTGACCATGAAATCAGGTTTATTTTTCTGCTGGATATTCTCATGCTCGGTTATTTTAGTTCATCTTATTATTTTAGTTATTTATTGTTTTTTAGTTGGTTATTTTAGTTCTGTAACTTAATCCAAACATCCAACATTTTTCAGTCAGGTCATCTGGACGGTTTCTTTTTTTTTGTGCTGAAACGTTTCACCTTCCATCCAGAAGGCTTCATCAGTCAAGAAAACGCACAAAACTGATTCTTCCCCCAAACAGTTTACTGTCCAGATGACCTGACTGAAAAATGTTGGATTGTATACCTGGATTATTGAGCATGGACTTTGTTGTTAATTCATATACTTTAGGGGAAAAAAAAAATAATAATTGGACCAGGTTTATTCTAGTAACTGATACAGCTTTTTATTTATTTTAACAAGTTTTATTGTGGGTGGAAATTATATTTTTGCCCGACACATACATTTAAAATAAGACAAAAATAAAGTCTTTATTATTCATAATCTTCAGCAGCTAATCAGCACAGTTTTACACACACAAAGCAAAACCTACTCAAGACTGCACCACAGTCGTATGCACGAGGTCACAAACTGAGCCCGTGTGTGTGTTTGGGCATCAAACTCGCTCCTCTCGCTGAGTTTAGAGTCAAGTTATCATCATCACACACACAGAGCACACACTCCGGTCGCTCGTGTCGGAGGCCGTTCCGGTGTCTGATCAGGAGCAGGAATCTAAGATTTTACACGCTAATGGCTTTAAATTGTGTCATCCGTAATCACAAAGCTAGCATTTAAACTGAAATTAGTAGTTATGACATTTTCAAGTTTGTTTCGTTGCTCTACCTGAATCTGGATGTTCCTGAAATAAGGTGTTTTTTTTAATCCCTGTGACAAAATGTATTTTTTTTTTTTTTTAAGTTTTGTGGAACTTAAGAATATTCACAGATATGTGCTGACAAAACATTAGCTCTTCAGCAGCACATTATTGGACGAAAATAAAAAGGTATTTTGTTGTAATAATCTCCGTAAACAGATTACAGTTCAACAGGATTTGATCTTGATCACTCGTTGATGACGCTGCAGAAATTACTTCTCAGGAACGATGTTCTTTGCAGCCTGCAGAACGTCTGATATCTCCACCTTATCCCCGAACTCCTTCTCCTGGTGTTCCAGGAGGACTCCCTGAAAGAACGAGACATTTCAAATGTAGGAGGGTCTCTGATGGGACGGACGAGACAAAGCTGCACGGATCTGATGTCTGGGTGAACTAACCTGTTTTCCTGCTCCGATGACAAACACTCCCCCGAGGATGAAGCCCTCCCCGTTCATGTTGCCCTGGTAACCAGACTTCCAGGCCCGAATGAAGTTCCTCCACACTCCAAGGCGAACGAAGCCCAAACCTCCCATCCTTCTCTGCAGCGGGCCGTAGAAACATTTCTACAAATACAAAGCAGTTATCGTCAGCTAGATCAAATAAAAAAAATGTAGCATATAGCAGCTAATTCTTTGAACACAATCATAATTAAGATTTTTTTTTTTTTAATACATCTGCCAATTTTTATCTCCGACAAAGAAAAAGTAGCTTTAAATATTAAGGGTTAAGGTCAGTGGTGAACATGTGCTTTGAATGCAGCTTTCTGAGCAGAGCTTATATATCTGATATTACTCTGTCTTATACTGCAGGTAAGATACTGACTGTTCATAACTATTACCCTGAATCATACTTAAAATATATTATTTGATTAGTGTTTATGTGTGACAACGTGCATCCTTTAGAAACTTTGGAGCATCTGATCCTTTTTTGTGATCTGTGCTGAGTCATAATTCATCTAAAAAGTTTCAATATGAAACGTTGCTCTTGAATTTCCCATCTGTGAGACAATAAAGGCTGTTTCTATTCTGTTGTTTGTTGAAATGTTATTGTCGGGCCTGTCAACAAGCTAGTTTAGTTTACACGTGCCCGTTTGAAAACATGATTTGTATTGGTATGGAGGAATGTCGTCAGGAATTCCAGCCCTAGATTTGAAAAGGGGGCTTCACAATGATGCCAAACATTATACAAAGGGATTTCCCCTGGCGCCACAACAGCCAGCTGAGGAGAAAATCGTCAACTGCAAAGCTATTTATCAATCAACCTTTATTTAGACCGGTGAATCCCATTTAAGTTACTGGGATCGCTCAGTGGTGTCTGTAGAGACCCATTTCATGCAAATCTCAATATTTTCACGTTCTTGGCACTGCAGCCTGTGTTTCTGACTCAGCAGGGCTCAAATTTACAGATCAAGCTACTCAAAAATAATTAAAACGCTGATAACATGAATGTGATAAGCGTCATCAAGGGTTTATAAATACTGTTCAAAGTGATATTATCGGCGCTTTGTTCCAGTAAATCTCTACCTACAAACCTTTTCATCGATGTAGATGTCCCCAGCGAAGTGCGGTCTGAAGCCCTGGATCTCTGCGGCCAAGTTTTCTTTCACCACAGCGACCAAAGGGACCCCGAGCTCCTCCAGCTGGGGTTTCAGAGAGGACAGCTCAGAGGCCTCCTGCAGGAAGAATGGAAATATTAGGAGACATTTAACCTGCCACTCGCCTACATTTAACCGTCAAGCTCTAAAACGTTACCTCTCTGCACAAAAATCATCCCGGTCGCCTTACAGCCATCACCACGGCCCCGTTCTTCTCCCACAGGCTCTTGGCTTTGACGACTTTCTCATCTGAAGACGAAACAAAAATAAAATGACACGTTGGTGAATAATCACAGAAACGCAGCTTTAACTCAAAACTTCAATGTTTTCTTTGGTTTCGGATCAACTGGACCTGACAGCGGCCTACCTTCCACTGTGGACCGCAGGTCAGCATCTTCGAGGTACTCCAGCGACGCCTTCGAACCTTTTGGAAGACAAAAATCGGTGTTTGCCAAGAAGATGCCAGCTAGGGCTGCTCCGACAGCCCCCAGACCCACCGACCACATCCCCATCTCCAACAGCTCCTCCTCCAGTCCGGACCAGAAGGCAGACACTGCATGAAAATGAGGCAAACGTACTGAGTTGGTGCTTAAACACGAGCCTAATAAAATGTTTTTAGTTCTTCCTGAGCTGGGCAACAGTTTCTAATGCTCATCTTTTCACGAGGAGAACGAAACAGACCCAGCAGCCAACAAACCAACCTTTGATTAGGGTTTATCGCGGTGCTTTCTGCCAGAACTTGTTCTCACTTTACACTAAACCTCACGAGATGAAACACCTCTGGTAATCACAACTACCGAGGTTTTAAAATCCCGTTTACAGAAACTAAACGGCGTGTTTTCCTTACAATCTTTTGGTCACATCGAACTGGAAATGACTTGTTTTTATTTACTTGGATTTGGATAACCGTTTCTTTTTCAACCCCAATATCTTTAATTATGTAAAGATAATCAGATTCCAGTTGCACAGAAATAAATGTAATACTCTTTGCAACAATGAAAAGTCAAAAGCAGAGTAAGGAACTTAACTTGGAGAAATATTGTTGTTATTGTGAAGTTTACCTTCAGTCTAATTGAATTAAATTACATCTTCTGAAAGAAAATCGCTACAAAAAAAAAAAAAAGTAAGAAAATGTTTACATTAGAAATATTTGGGTGTAACAGTGGACAGCTAACTGTGACAGCATGCCCTTGCCTGAAGTGATCTTGTTCGGATCAGGACTTGCTTTGGCTTTACTTTGGTGAAACAGCGCGGTCTGGGTTAAAAACTGCGGCCTGGCCGTGGTGGAGTGCCGGCTGCTCACGGTGGAGCTCCCCACGGGGACAGCAGCACAGCGCAGGGGAAGCCTCCACCTCAGAGCAGTCGAACATCTAGACAGAGCCAGCATTAGTGGCTGCAGTACAAGTCTGAGCTTCTCACTAAAAAGACCCCAAGAGTTCACTGGAAGACACAAAACAAAAGTTGTTTTTTGGAGCATGATAAACTCAACCACTGCCGTAATGCAATAACACTTCAAGTTGCAACTTTGTTAGAAAAGTAACATTTTATGGCGTTTTGTTCTCACTCTGACCCAATTAGAACTCTGCACCTATTGTTGAACCCGTTACCTGAAAGAGCAAAGGTAAAGCAGAAGTTTTTATCTTGATCTGACAGTGTGAATGTTCTCCTTTTGCAAATACATTTCCTACTTTTTGCACGTCAAGTTCTCATCTGGGTCAATGCATCAGCATTCAAACAAACATGCAACGCAAAGAGGACCAATCTGACTTCTCTATTCAAACAATTCAAAAGTACGACTTGATGATACTGACTTGTCTGTGTCAATGGGTGAATAAATCCTCTCTCTCTCTCTCTGGCAGTTCAGCTCGTCCGCTTTCAAACTGTAAATAACTCAAAGCATTTGTGCAGTTGGGCTTTATAACTCAGAGTCAGGAGGGAAAAAAAAACACGATAAGAGCAGCAACCAATAGAAATGCCTGGTAAATGAGGAAGAGTGGTTTTTATTTTTTTATTTTAAGAAACCTCAAGTCCCACAGCAAACTCTGAATATAGCTAATACTTATTCTGTCTGGAAATATATCAGTGCAACATGAAAAAATCTACAAAAAGTCATAAGCTGGAATGTACTACTTTATTTTAAAGCTCAGATTTAAGGCATTTCAATGACATTATTTCAGTTTTTAATGTATTAAGTTAAAACTGTACCAAACTACATTTGAATATCAGAAAGAGATAATAATTAGCTGAAATTGAAATACATTTAGATTTTTAAAACCCATACAAATCAATGAAACTGTTAAAATGTGGTTGCAGACTTTAGCTGACATTTGGTTTCAATTAAGTATTAAAACCTGCTTGAAAACTTAATATCTATTTTCTCTAGATGATACATCATTATAGTTTGCTTTGTAAATCGCGTCCTTTTATAAAAACCTTTAAGGTAAAGACTTCAGCAACCATGTGGCGTCAATATATATTATTTCAATTGTTTATTGTTCAGATGTAAAAAAATAAAATAAAAACGTGAAATTTCTCGGAACATGTTTGAATTTTACCGCTTACACGTGACCTTGGCGCAAAGCAAAAACACGCCTTCAAATTTGTAGTGCGTGTTTTTATTGATCATTACGGTAGTTGGATTAAAACTAAAATACACTCGTTTAAAAAATCAATGCATAATGACGTTACACGAAATAGAAACGCCGGAGAGTTATTTGATCTCTGTTGTGACCTTAATATTCGAGTAATCTAACCAGCACTGAGACTAATTGCACTCTTTACGCTTATTTGAAAAAAAAAAAACAAGTTTTGTAAGTTTATCCGACGGTGTCCTACATAAACTGTTTTAACTGCTAGTACCGTCGATGGCCTCGATAAAATTAGCATCAAGTAGCATTTAGCCGACATTACTCTGTTACAACGCATGTCGCATGCAGTCGTGTTTATTTTCACAACCTCGCTGAAATTTAACGTTTACGACACATTTTAGTGATATAAACACCACTCACCAAAAAAATCAATGAGCACCCGACCTGACGTTTTGGTCGACAGGTTTAATCTGAGCCGGCAGGCCCAACTAAACGATTTCGAGCAGGAAAAGTAATCGAACAAGATGGCGGAAGATGGATGGAAACAATGGTGGGATGAAACAGTTTATCGACAGAAAGAAGTTGGAACACAAGTAGGAACAAGTCTTAATAAAAAATTTAAAAAAAGTTTTATTTTATATTCATGAGTTAAAAGGCCCCTGGGGTTTTTGTTTTTGTTTAATTTGATAACATTTCTTAGTGTCACTTTTAAGATTGATCAATTTGATACAATGTTTGGTTTATTGTTTGTATATTTATTCAGCTTTTCTTTATTGACATGTGTCCTTGGGGTGTTTGCATGTTTCAGTAGTTGTGCCTCTGAGATCATAATGTTTCTGTAGTTGTTTTGCATAATTTTTATATTGTTTTGTGTGTCTTCTTGTCAACTTTGTGCACTTATTGCTCACATCTTTTTGTTGCTAATTGATTTAGCATCAATTCAATTTAGTCTATTTATATAGTGCCAAGTCACAACAGAAGTTATCTCAGGGCACTGAACAGAAACATTCATATTCATAAAAATTCAATTAGTATCATTATTTATCTAAGGTAGAGTAGCCAGCAGATTGCACTGTCATTTCATTGTAGTCTCACAGTAATACTTTATTCTGAGTCACTTTTATTTCTTAATGTTTTTCTTTTGTTTTTGTTTTTTTTATATATATAATTGCTTTGCTGTGATTGCAAACACTTTATCTTTCTATTTTAGATTCAACGTCTCATTATTTGGCTCTAGGCACCTCAAGGCTCGTTCTGTGATCCATCCATGAGCAAACATGGCAACAAACACGCTTCTGTTTATTATTTTTAGTCCCTTTTTTTGTTTCTTCTCCATCCTGTTTTGTCAAATCTAAGTGTTGGATTTGTGTGCTGAAGGATCAGGACTGGAGTTTAGAGACAAATCATCATTAAAACACGCATCACCAATAACAGGTTTGCACACAGCGTATCAATAAACAAATAAACAGACGCATTTTATAACTTGACAGCGAATAAGCCATGCAGAATGCACTGAAGTAACTCATGCTACATGCAGTTGACACATAAACAGATTTCAACATGCTGGTAGCTACAGAATGTTGTAGAAACACTCTGGGGTTATCCAAAGTCACATACAGCACTAAACACGCGCAGCCACTAATACATAATGCAACAAATTGAAATCCATTCATGAAATAATCAAATGTCCACCTCTCTTTAGAGCCATGAGGTGTTGTCTAAGAGTAACATACTGTAGATTACAGTCTTAAACCTTTTATTCAGTTTTGTATTTAAAGGGGGATTTTGCAAACATGTTTGCATTTTTCTGTAGATCTTTTCAGCGAAGTGCTTCTTGTTCAGCTTCAAGGCAAGAAGAAGATCTTCAGGGTCCTGCAGCTGGGACTTCAGACAGAGCAGCTTAGCAGCCTCCTGACGAGAGAAGGGCAGGAAAACATCATGTATGAAAATTAAACACTTCATTTTATTCCACACATCACACCCATCTGCACGGTCATGATACTGCTGAAGAGTTTTGGCCTTCTGTTTCTGATGGACTTTAAAAAAGTATATATAAAAAGTTCACAGATTTCTCTTCAGATTCAAATATTTATTTTAAGATTAAAAAGTCCCCTAAAATTCTGATGTAGAATGTGGTTATTGTCTAAAATAACAATCGCTTGTGTGTGTGATTCCTAATCTTTTAAAAATAATTTCTTTAGCAAGACACGGCAGCCTTGAAGGTTTTAAGGGCTCACTTACTCCTCAACACTTCAGATATGTGATACAGAAACATTTAATTTTAAACATGTCGTTGTAAAAGTGCAGCAAATTCATTCCTTCTGCTGTCTTCAGCTCCATGTTCTCCAGCTCCTCCAGATTGATAGTTTGACATGTTTTCTTACCTTTGCTGTGATATTCATGGCTAATGTGGAAGAGTCTGATATTTTCACCAGTTCTTGCCCCTTAACAGATCACACCAGTCACAGTGGAATCCCTGCTTATGGGAGACGTGCATGTCTTTGAATTCCTCAAAGACGTCCGTAAAACAGATTTTGCTGAGCTTGTACCAGATTCTGTACGATGCAGAAAAGATTTATTGCCAACCTGAAGCACAGCTTCTGTAGAAATTGTCATTTCTATTTTATCAGTTGTCTTCAGGTTTTTAAATATGTCAAAAAATATCTCAGATCAGCTCAGAATAAGATAAACGTTGTGATGATAGTAAATATGGTTAGTAGGATTCTCCTGTGTGAGCAGAGCTGAAGGGACTCTGACATCAAACTCAGGCCAAGACTGACTCCTGCAGGACATTTTAAAGATTAAGACTAAACAAAGTCTATACTTCTAATTGTTTCCTCTCTATATAAGGTTGATCAAACTCAGAAAACAGTAGTAAAAATGTTCATTTTGTCTCCTCATGCAGCAATTCAGACCAAAAAAAAAAAAAAACTGGCACCAAATTTGAGCTAAAACAGGATGATGATCTCAAAAACACATAGTCCAAACATAGACTCAGTCATTTAAGAAAAAGTAACTAAATATGTACATTTTTCTCATGTTCTACTTCCTAAATTTTCTAAATAATTTCTGTATTATAGCTTTGGTGTAATCTATTTTCCAAAATAGCAGTGAGCACCAAACAAATACCAACCAGTATGCCAATATACTTTCTGAACGTCAACACAATTGTGGTTCCATAGCTGCTCTGTTAGTGATGCAGTTCAATACAACAGCTTCAATAAATCCTGGGAAGGTTTATATCCTGTTTGATTTGCTTTGTGTGCTTTTCTACAGTGTAAGTTAGGTGAAGACTTTGTTTAGCTCCTTCATAAAGTTTCAGAAGACCGGCTTGAGTATTTTTCAAGTTATACATTAGTAGTATTTCATCATTGGGGGCAGCTTCACGCAGGAATGTGCTGAAGGTCCAAAAAGGGCTGGAATAGAGACGGGATAGGATGACATTCCTCCAGCTCAGCTGCTGTGCTCCCTCTGACGGACCTCAGGCAACCTTCAGGGTTGGTGTTCCTGCTGCCTGGATGCTTGTTTCTGTGGTTTCAAACTGTTTTTTTTTTAACAAATAGCTGAATGATTCATGCACGCCGAGCTTCTTTCTTGTGACTCATTAGACGACGAAACAGTTTGGAATAAAACAGCGCAGCGTTCAGATGACTCGCCTGTGATTTTTTGGGTTGTTTTGCCTCTCTTATCACACATACAAACTGGCAGCATGCGCAAATGGGAGTGACAGCCAATCACAGCTGAGGATTGGCTCCCCACCTCCTGTGGACAGCTCCTGCTCACACACTGATTGACTCCT